ATGACATGCAATACCAACCTTCCCCACAATTTTGCAGAAAATATTTGTGAAATCAATGGGGTAAGATTAATGCAAATTGCATGTTCGAATACAGGGTGGTCAGTACAGAATACTCGAAAAAGTAATCCTAGATTGAACATATGAAAATAATATCTTCATGAAAGTTGGAAATTGGTGGTTTCTGAGGATGAGAAACAGGTAACCCTAGTTACAGCCTATAATCTCACTATTCTATGACAACTGTTCGGCTTGTACTGTTCCATTATTTTTGATCAAAAATTATTTTTAAGTGAGAAGGAAACTATTCTACACTATTTTAATTAAATAAATAAACCAAAGAGCGGAATCTGTTGAGGGCAAGAAATGAAAGCAGTGAATATTTGACAATACCTCAGACATATTGACATTGAATATATCCACACTGATGTTCTTTTCATACACTTAACATGTTGCATTATTAATGGACTGTGTCTAAGCCAGCCATTTGTGCAGTCCAATGTTAAATTTAAGTATCTCAAAAAGGATTTGATTGAAATAAATGTAAACTATCTACCATCACTAAACACTATATCATAGTTTTTAATAAAACTATAGAATGGTATATTAGCAAAAAAATATGATAAAATACTGAGAATAAATGCTGTAGGGAAGACTGTTGTATACTGGGACAGGTTCTATACTGGGACATTTTAAATTTCGCGCCAATGATCCGGAATAAAATAGCACGCACATGTGTGTTACTTGCTTTGGGCCATTTAAGGGTTATTATAATAAACCAATGGATGAATGGATGATAAATCATCCAGGCACCCCGGTAACATTGTACAATATAGCAGAAATTGTAGGAAAATCATTTACAATTTCCTTTACACCTAACAATATAATTAAGGGCTTTGAGAAAACATGTATACATCCATTGAACTCAGAAATATTTCAGGAGAGACTTTTTATACTCTTCTGTTACCGATCGTGGACAATTGCATATTGAAGACGCTGACATAGTTCCTGATATAAGTAAGAATAGTAAGAAAGAAGAGGAGGAAATTTGAATGATTCCCAACCAAGTTGCTCCAAAACTGGTACTGAAAAATCTACCCCTGAAAAAAAAATTGTCACTCCGGAATCAATAAGACCTCTTTTAAGAGTAACATCAATGATCTTGACAGATACTCCAATCATAGAGGAAAAGAAACAAAAAGAAGTAGAGAAAAGGTTAAAAGAAAGTCAAAAGTCACAGAAAAAGCCAAAATGAAGGCTGCAACTAGAAATTTGTTTGAAGATTCCAGTGACAGCAATATTTCTATGCATGAGTTATGCAGACAGTTCTGATAACTCGGACAAATTTGACATCGACATAGATTATGAAATAAATCTAAATGATTTTGTTATTGTAAAATACCCATTAAAAAAACATAGAATATTGTGTTGGGAATGTTGAGAAAATTAAGTTGGCTGACTATGTCATAAATTTTATGAAAAAAACAGACCCTGGTAAATTCATGTTCCCAGAAAAGAAAGATGACGATCTTATTGTAAAGGAAGATATTGTTGCCTAACTTCCAGTTCCATTTATGTCGGGGGGAACAGAACAGAAAGAGCTGCAAAAACAATGGTGTTTCAATTATGACTTTTCGTTGTTTAATATAGAATAAAAACAATTTGTTACAATAAATTTTTGTATGTACCAAATTTTATGTACTTGTTTCTTGTTTATAATATTTTGAATAAAATTTTGTTAATTTTAATGTCTAAGGACTTTTTTATGCCCTTGTTGCTCATTTTTATTTTGTTTACAAGTTGTCCCACTATAAAACACAATGTTGTTGTATAGCGGGACTGGGTGTTTACAGGGACAAAGCCCGATTTTATTTAGCCTTTTACTTTTTATTACTGGTGTTATTACGAGTATTAAAATAAAGTAGTTCCTTTAGCTAATATATCAAACATAAAAAAAATTGTATACAACAGTATACAACAGTCTCCACTAAGTAGTACCGTCTACTTGCTATGTTAAAAAAATACATCATACTCAAACTTCATGTTGATATTCCAATAAAAAATTGAGTTATAGAGAAGGAACATTTTCCAAAATCAAACTTCAACACCCTGTGCCTCAACAGCAGGCTACCCTTCATTAAGACGGTTAGCTACATATTATTTCCACAAGTTTAATTTTGATGCATTCATTACAGACCATGAAGTATAATTAACCATAACTCTTGATTAAGCTTACTATGGTATTGTTTTCCACATACAATTATCCATGGTCAGCATATCTTTGAGGAACATTATATTCACCTTTGAATAAGGAAGTTTTCCTCTAGGATGACATAGACCTACCTATCCTCAATGTTTAAAAATTAAGTGATTCTACATTGCAAGCTCAACAAATGATGAAAAAGTTATCTAGAAGGCAGTTGTAAAGCGAAAAATTACATACAGGTGAAACTAATGGCTCCAATAAGTAAAACCACCAAACAATGTACCACAGTCCATGGTGATGGTAAAACAAAATCAAACATGCCAGAACAAAGCACCAGCGCTCATTACTTCCTAGGACACTTTATAGCAATATGCCCCTTATTATTGCAATTGTAACAAATTGGTGCATGTCTACACTCTGCAGCCATATGTCCTGCTTTGCCACATGTATAGCACTTTCTCGAATTATGATTGGTCGGCTCTATATTATCTCTCTCCTTACGATGTTCTTTAGGCTCCCTATAGTCTCGCTCTCGTTCATATGACATACGTTGTGCTGGCGAAGATAAAACTGGCATTGGTACCTGCATTCCATGATTTGGAAGATTACAGAGAAACTGAGAGTAAAGTATCTCAGGTGTCATGAAATTACTGGATCTAGCTTCAGCTTGGCAAAATGGATTGTCTAATCCATCAATAAGGCAAGATACTGCATTCACCCCTGATATCTCACATGCCTCAAGCAAATACATCTTGCTGAAATAATACTGTGTGATCGTTTCATCTGGGACCTTAACTCTATCCACAAGTAGATGAAGGGTTTGAGCAAAATCAACATTATCAGGAAATGTACGAGTGATGAGCATTTTTAGCTCTAACCAAGTGTAATCATACATGCCCAATGTTTTAAACCATGCCTTGATTATACCTGACATTTTGCTCTGAATATAATTGATACAATCCCTATCATCAAAATTCCTCTGCAAGCATTCTTCATTGATTTGATTCAACCACACTGAAGTGGGAAATGACATATGTCTTGGATTAAACTCACCAGGTTTTGAGTCACCACCAACTATATTATCACCACCTCCCCTCACAAGCTTCTTTACCATTTTTTCAAGGCGCTCTAATCTGTCATCAGGATCTTTTCTAGGAGTGGAAGTCTTTTCATACCCACTACGGAAGCTGTTTGACGGAACCTTTATAACATCAGCCTCATCTTTATGTCTACGTTTCGCATCCTCAGGTCCTCTGCTAGGAACTTGCCTGTCTTTGCTATAGAGTACGGAGACCTGTACGATGTCGTCAACTTAGTGAGTTTGATAGGGGCCGTATAGTGGGACTTCGGGAAGCTGGACTTTCTTTTCGGGCAATTGCAGTTAGAGTGCAAGGAAGTGTAGACACTGTGGTTAGGTGTTGTCAGGCATGGTTTCGAGAAGGCCGTACGCAAAGAGCAAGGGGCACTGGACGCCGCCGTAGAACAACAGACCGTGAAGATCGCCGCCTAAGATTATTGGCCTTAAGGGACCGTTTCTCCACTACCAGGTCCATTGCAAATGAATGGTAGAACACGGAAGACCTATTGGCATGCGAAGTGTTTACCGACGAATGAGAACTTTTGGCTTGTTTTCATACCGGCCACACTGGGTCCTCCCTTTAACTCGAGAACACCGACGTAATCGCCTTGAGTGGTGCGGACAACGGTCACTCTGGGATCAGGAATGGAACAGTATTGTCTTTAGTGACGAGTCTCGATTTTGTTTAGGCATGCACGATGGTCGTGCCAGGGTTAGAAGGCGACGTGGTGAAAGGAGGAATCCACAGTTTTTTGTTGAAAGACATGTTCATCACACTGTTGGAGTTATGGTTTGGGGTGCTATAGCTTATGGTTCCAGGTCACCTTTAATCTTACCCTATCTTGACACCCTGGCAGATCCAACTTTCCAACAAGATAATGCCCGACCACATGTTGCAAGAGTCACAATAGACTTCTTTCAACATAATGATGTCACATTGTTACCATGGCCACCAAGATCTCCCGACTTATCCCCAATTGAGCACGTGTGGGATATGATGGGTAGGAGATTGCTCAATTTGCAACGTCCTCCTCAGACTCTAGAAGCACTTCGAGAGGAGTTGGAGGCCTGGAATGAGATACCACAGGAGGACATTGACCACCTGATCAGAAGCATGCCTAGGCGCGTTGGAGAATGCATAGCACATCAGGGTGCATCCACACATTATTAAAGGTCAAAGGACTTTAAAGCAGTGCAATCATTTTGAAATTTTGATCATTTACTTATTATGCTTCATTAAGTTGTTATACAAAATTTTATTAAAATAAAACCATTTAAACTGGGTGTTCGGATTTATATGTCACTTAGTATATGTATACACAATTTCGGAAAAAAAAATTTTCTTCGCAACAAAAGGTGATATACACATCCGCTTTGCTAACGTGTGTTTTTCGAATATCGTAGGGACTTTGTTCAATTATTTACAAATAAGAAATGTTTGAATTTGTTTAGAAGAAAAAACCTAACCCTTCGCTCTTCGCATAAAAAATAACATCATAACATCTTTCGGAGAGACTTGTGATTGTCGGCAAGGTAAACTCGTGTATGGTGCTATACGAGGGTGGTCCCAGAAGTACCCGGCCTGACCTAGAGATGGCGATAGTTGTTTGAAATTAGCAACAAGTGCCAAACCTGCATTTTGCCTCGGTTTTCGGCCATAACTTTTTTGCTAATAGTAGGATCTTTTTATGTGTGGTCTCCTTCTTCATATTGAAGAGCGTTTTCGTTCCTGCCAACACTTTCGATTGAGTCCCAAAAAACGCGTTTTCTCATTCTCGTCGAATAAAAAGTTTTTCCACAAAAATTGGTGTACCCATTGTATGCGTCCATGAACAACCAGAGTTTACAATTATTTCTAAGAAATTTGCTAATATGACTAATAGCCATTCTACGCCTTTTAATAAACACAGAATCGAATCCATTCAAACAGCGGAATTTTCAGTAAAACAATGCCAACAAAACGCAAACTACGGTGAATGCGAATACGGCGATGAGGCGGTGTACTTTGATAGGAACGACTTTGTGAAATTCGCGCCGTCAGTGCAGACCTCTTGCTGCCATCAAGAATCAGAAGAAAAACGTTGCTACCTCACGGTGAATGGCAAGGAAGAGTTGCCGTCAGTGCACGGGGTCAAGTACTGTCTGTCAGAGACAGAAAAACACGTACGGCACTCATCGCTCAGAAGCAAGGTGGTACTGTCCAGGGATAAGGTGAAGTTCTGCAAAGGGATCAACGGAAATGTGAATCCAGTGACTATAAAAAATGTCTCGGCATATTGTACGTTACCTAAAAACCCGAGGAAAGTGGGCGAAAATCATCAGCACCACACGAGGCACGCAAATCCGCCCAAAAGGGTTACCCCTGATGGAACGCATATCTATTATTGGTGTGACTTGAAAAAAGAAAATGGTAAGAACTTGGCAGTACTTTAACAATTATTTAACAAAGACTGCGATATATGATAATAGTGACGTAGTTACTAACACTTTATAAATTGGTATTTAGGTATCATGTTGAGGTGGGTCTCAATGCAAATGAGTGTATCAGGCGATATAGAGCGAATGCTATCACTATTGGAACGTTTGGGTTCATTTATGCACACGACTTGCGTTGCGCGTTGATGTTCAATAAAAAGGCGTCCATTTGCAGAAAGGGGTACATAGATAGATATTTATTGAGCCAGATAATGTACAATGACATTTTTGGTTTCTCCAATATTGTCGAGTAATACTTTCGCGTGGTTGAATAATTCTACAGTATAGTATTTCTGATCCTAACTGAAATTGATGAAATCGTTTTGCAGTCGAATCTGTTATTAAATACCGTACATGAAAAATACCGTTTGTATGCAGTCCGAGTCATAGGAAGTTGAAGGACAGCTGGAACCACCTGTTGACGATAGTACACTTCTAAATTAAATATATTAAATGTTATACTAAGTGACATATAAATCCGAACACCCAGTTTAAATGGTTTTATTTTAATAAAAGTTTGTGAATGTATTTATCTTACTGTAAATAACAAGTGAAAAAATTTTCAGCCTTATCAGTTGGACATTCCTGTTTTTATACTCCTTTTTTTTAATTCACTAACGCTCTAAAAATGAATATTTCAGCCACAGTAAAGAATCAACGTTGGCGGATTTTGGTTCTTGACATCCTTTACGATCGGTTACGATGCCTAGAGTACGGAGACCTGTACGATTTCGTCAACTTAGTGAGTTTGATAGGGGCCGTATAGTGGGACTTCGGGAAGCTGGACTTTCTTTTCGGGCAATTGCAGTTAGAGTGCAAAGAAGTGTAGACACAGTGGTTAGGTGTTGTCAGGCATGGCTTCGAGAAGGCCGTACGCAAAGAGCAAGGAGCACTGGACGCCGCCGTAGAACAACAGACCGTGAAGATCGCCGCCTAAGATTATTGGCCTTAAGGGACCGTTTCTCCACTACCAGGTCCATTGCAAATGAATGGTTTGCAGAACACGGAAGACCTATTGGCATGCGAAGTGTTTACCGACGAACGAGAAGTTTTGACTTGTTTTCATACCGGCCACACTGGGTCCTCCCTTTAACTCGAGAACACCGACGTAATCGCCTTGAGTGGTGCAGACAACGGTCACTCTGGGATCAGGAATGGAACAGTATTATCTTTAGTGACGAGTCTCGATTTTGTTTAGGCATGCACGATGGTCGTGCCAGGGTTAGAAGGCGATGTGGTGAAAGGAGGAATCCACAGTTTTTTGTTGAAAGACATGTTCATCACACTGTTGGAGTTATGGTTTGGGGTGCTATAGCTTATGGTTCCAGGTCACCTTTAATCTTACCCTATCTTGACACCCTGGCAGATCCAACTTTCCAACAAGATAATGCCCGACCACATGTTGCAAGAGTCACAATAGACTTCTTTCAACATAATGATGTCACATTGTTACCATGGCCACCAAGATCTCCCGACTTATCCCCAATTGAGCACGTGTGGGATATGATGGGTAGGAGATTGCTCAATTTGCAACGTCCTCCTCAGACTCTAGAAGCACTTCGAGAGGAGTTGGTGGTTGCCTGGAATGAGATACCACAGGAGGACATTGACCACCTGATCAGAAGCATGCCTAGGCGCGTTGGAGAACGCGTAGCACATCAGGGTGCATCCACACATTGTTAAAGGTCAAAGGGCTTTAAAGCAGTGCAATCATTTGGAAATTTTTATCATTTACTTATTATGCTTCATTAAGTACTTATACAAAATTTTATTAAAATAAAACCATTTAAACTGGGTGTTCGGATTTATATGTCACTTAGTATATATGCAATCCCTAAGAAATTTTATTAAAATAAAACCATTTAAACTGGGTGTTCGGATTTATATCTCACTTAGTATATATGCAATCCCTAAGTATGACTCTTATGGCACATTTTTTCAACTTTTTTGCTGTTTCAATTAAGAATAGAAATAATATAACAGAGCATGTGGCTTTTTTTAAACTTAGGGCCGTATAGTCAGTCGTTCCTACAATTGTAGGACGCCTTTATGGCGTCCTTGATTTTCGTAGTCTTTTCTATTTCTAGGTTTCTACCATTCCGTGTCAGCGTCAGCGCTCTCCTATTGTGAAGTTGTTTTCTTTTTGAATCGTAGAAAATTTCGGGCTGATATAACAGATGATATAAATCAAAAGCATGAACAATTTAATGCAGTTATTTGTAACATAACCTCAAAATAGAGCGCCGATACAGAACAGTAGAAAACTATGAAAATCAAGGAGGCCATAAAGGCGTCCTACAATTATTATAGGAACGACTGACTATACGGCCCCAAGTCGTTTGTGACTTATTTCCCTCCATATATGTCCGCAAGTCGTGGGATTAATTTGAATATGATTTGTTCTAGAACTGGACGATGGGGCATACAATCCTTTATGGACTATGCAAGGATTTACGCAAACTTTCCATTTTTGGAAAGAGAACAAAAGGGCCCAATCGGTACCGTTGAATGCCTTTCTTACTTATGTCACACTGCCTTGGTGGAGTATTGCAAAAGGTAATGTATAATTTCAGCATATGTAAAACGTCAAACTTTGCCTTTAAATAAGTTGCAGTTTAAAAAACAGAAAAATACGATTTACGAGGGTGGTCCCAGAAGTGCCCGGCCTGACTTAGAGATGACGATAGTTGTTTGAAAAGTATCATCAAAGCGGTACTGAATGATCGTCGACTGAAAGTGCGCGAGCTAGCAGACATAGGCATTTCGAAAAGTGCGGTTCATCGCATATTATGTGAAAATTTGGTCATCAGAACGCTGTGTGCAAGATGGGTGCCGTGATTGCTCACAATCGATCAAAAACAGTGTCGTTAAGATGTTTCAATTGAGTGTTTAGCGAAGTTTCACAGCAACAAAGCAGAATTTTTGCGTCGTTTCATAACCATGGATGAAACATGGGTCCATCACTCCACACCCGAGACAAAAGAACAATCAAAACAATGGACTCAAAAGGGACAACCAGCTCCAAAGAAGGCGAAGACCGTTTCATCTGCAGGCAACGTTATGGCGTCGGTTTTTTGGGATTCGCGTGGGATTATTTTTCATTGACTATCTTGAAAAATATAAAACTATCAATGGCGAGTATTATGCGAACTTATTGCAACGTTTGAGCGATGAAATCAAGCAAAAACAGCCGCATTTGGTTAAGAAGAAAGTGTTGCTTTAGCAAGACAATGCACCAGCCCACAAACTTGAAAAAATGGCTCAGTGGTCAAAGATTCTCCAACCATGAAGAAGTGATGTCGGCAGTAAGTGGCTATTTTGAGGAGCAAGACAGTTCTTATTATAAAAAGGGTATCGAACTTATTGAACATCGCTAGGAAAAGTGTATAGAGCTCAAAGCAGATTATGTTGAAAAATAAATCCATTTTTTTACAAAATTTTTGTGTTTTCTTCGTTGGGGCGGGTACTTCTGGGACCACCCTCGTAAACTAGAAAGTAGAAAATAATTTTCAAGTATTGGAGAATTTGTGTTACTGCAATAGAAAGCCCAACAATCAATTATGACTGATTAATTTGGAATAAGATCAACAGGAAAATTAGGATATTAACAGACAATTCAATTATAGTAAAAAAGCGTGATGTGGCTTGATATTAAATGTTTTAGTTATTTTTTTAGTTGCTATTTACAAAATTGGATTTATTATGAAAGTGCACCCCACGATTATGTACTATGCTAGATTTTTTTGTTAATATCTTAATTTTTGCTATTGCAGTAACACAAACTCTCATATACTTGAAAATTATTTCAAACGTAGTTAGATTTGCTATTAAAACTCGTTTTTTATATATAATTTATTTCCTGATTCTGATTTTAGTCTCAAAACCACAACAAAAGTACTTATAAGAAGAACCTCGATTTTTCATATATTCTATATTTGACAATAAATCTAAATTTACTTCAAAATTTTATCAAATTTTGAAATTTCCAATTTTTTTTTAATTATGAAACCATTTTTTTGCAAATTTGAAAATTCAATTTTTTGAAAATTTCCTAATTGAAATTTAAAAAAAATCTAATTCGATTGTTTTTCCAAAATTATTGTATTGTCAAAGGCCCTTGACCTCTGTGTAAATTTTCAAGTTGATCAAATGTCTTGAAATTGGAAATTAGGTTAAAATATTACATACAAATATATGGGGTTGTCCAAAAGGGACGCAGGAAAGTAAACGCATATTAAAACAAGAAAGATTGATATTCAAATCAAGTTGAGTACTTTATTTTGAAGGTTCATTTATACCATTTATGTATGAAAAATAATATTGCTCAAATGTTGGCATTTATCTCGGCAATGATGTTGTTTTTCAGTTCTTGGAGGGTGGCTGGTTTGTTGACGTAGACTTTGCTTTTCAAATATCCCCATAAAAAGAAATCCAAGGGAGTCAAATCGCACGATCTTGGTGGCCATGGCACATTTCCTCTGCGCGAAATCACGCGATCACCGAAGAAGGACTGCAATCGATGGATATTGACGTTGGTTGTGTGGCATGTTGCACCGACTTGTTGGAAATAAACATGGTCCATATCCATTCCTTCAAGTTGCGGCAAAAAATAGTCCTCTATCATCACGTGATATCGCTCAGAATTGACGGTAACGGCGTCCCCGGCCGCATTTTCGAAAAAGTAAGGTCCGATGATGCCTTTTGACCACAATGCACAACAGCAATATTTTCCAGTGTGCGAACGCTCCTTGGCCGGCCAGAGCCTGGCAGATTTGCCACAGAACCTGTTGCCTCGAATTTACGCACCAGACGACCGATGGTTGTTTCGTTTGGGCGGTTGTTGCGACCGAAATGTTCACGAAGCGCGCGAAACGTGTTTTTTATTTTTGCACCATTTTTGTAGTGCTCTTGAATAACTTTAATGCGGTCTTCAATCGAATACGACTCCATAGCGATCAATGGTAAACATTCAACTAACAAAATGACATGTCGGTGACAGAAAACAAAGATGGCGTCTATGTCAAATTGACGTTTACTTTCCTGCGTTGGACAACCCTTTACAAATCAAGCAAAAAAAGCGTGTTAAAAATTCAGTTAATGGGATGCTTGATGTTAAATGTGAGAGTTATTTTTTTAGATGATATTCCTAATTAATTATTCATCCTTGATTGTTGGAATTTCTATCGCAGTGAGACAAACTTTCCTATTGAAAATTGTTTTCTAATTTTAAGTTAGATTTGCTATTAAAGCGTTTTTAAGCTATAACTTATTCTGTGAATTTTTGGTCTCAAAATCACAAAGTCCTTATAATCAAGAGCTTCGATTTTTGGTATATTTTATATTTGACAAATTTAAATTTCCAGATTTTTTTTCAAATTATTATCCAAATTTTCAAAACTAAGTTTTTTTCCTCTCAAATTTGTTGAAAATTTTCAGATTTGATTTTTTCCACAAGATTATTGTACTGCCCTTGATACCTGTGGAAATTTTCAAATTAATCAGGCTTCTTCTAGTTGGTGTAAATTAGGCTGAAAGATTCCTTTACATACATACAGGTCAAGCTAATAAAAAAATGTTAAAAAGACGCTCGAGAAAAACGTGACAGTGATTTTTACAAGATTGTGCAACTGCGACAATTTCAATCACTGATACATTTTGTTTTTCATATAGATATCCTTGATCATCGTGAGGGGCCTATACTAACCTTCTAACGACAGAAGAGGAATTGATGATATTCAAACAAACCCGTAAGCGCAAAAGTATTCCATATTTGAAACGAAAATTGTTGATATTATTTTAAATATTAATAAAAATCATTTATATACTTTGCGTCTTATTTATTTCTCACTTTAATGCATATAAACAAAAAGTTAAATTCTTGGAATGCCAAAATACTGAAGTAATTTGGAAACAAAACAAAATAAATAGTAAAGCCGTGAATTGAAGTATTCACATAAGAACCTTATAAATATGGTATTCATAGAAAAATAACAACTTCCTTATTTGGAGATTCTGGTAACAATATTAGAAAATAAAAATAGTTTCACATATAATAAAAAATAATTTAAACGAGTGACTTATTAATCAACAGAAAAAACAAGAGATAACAGAACTGATGAGTTTAACATAAAAAAATCACTTAATTCCAAACAGAAGTAATAGATCAGGCTGGATTGAATTTGCAAAATGTGAACGGATTTAAACCACAAAAATGATGATTTTTAACCGAATTTTTAATCGTTGAAGATTCCATTTTTAGATTTTTTTACACTTCGAAACCGACTAACTCCAGAGAAAAGTTGCTAAGGACCTTTGTTCAGAAATCAGAAAAAAAAATGGTCGGAGAGAAACATCATCTTTTGGAATTACTCAAAGGGGGAATTGAAAATGTGGACCAGCAAGATCCGGATTATTCTTTGACCTCAGTTGATATCTTTTCATAAAGTGTGGTCCTCACGTTTTGCAAATTCCTACACATAAGAGTTACTTCAGTTTGTTAGGAATTATTACATTGTATCATAACTATTCGAGTGGTTCAGGTTACAATTGTTTCTCCAGATCTGAAAGTAACAAGCAAATCAAAAAATAACCTACAATATACGCCTCTCGACCGTTGAGAAGCCACTACGGTTCCTTTTAACTTCCCAGTAACCGTCGGTATCCAAAGACCTGGTAAGTCCGGATAAGAATTCCTCGTTATGAGTAAGCACCAACAATTGGAAGTTTTTTGCCAGCACCAAATTAGCTAATGTATCGCTCAAACTGATGATGTTCTTTTTATCTAAGTAAGTGGTCGGTTCATCTAACGCCAAAATCCTGCAGTGAGAACTGAAAGCCTCGGCCAAGGCTATCCTGATAATGAGACACGCTAAGACTTTTTGCCCCGCGCTACATCTCCCTCTCATTTCTAATTCTATCGTGTTCTCAACTTGAACCACCTTGTAGTTATACGTCCTTCTCTTATTTAACCCACCACCTTGCATGTCCTCGTTTGTTTGGATCTCAATATAGTCTATGTCGTTCCCTTTGTATGTTTCTCTCCACAGTTCTTTGATGATCCTATTTATATGAACCATGCGGTCTTCAAGGAATTTCAACACACATTTCTCCAAAACGTTTATATACGTACCCAGATCTTCGACCATATGCTCTTCAACTACTAGTTCGTGGTACTGCTTCAGGTAATTCTTATATGCGTCTTTTTTTTCTGGTTTTTTTAAATCAACTTGGAACTCTTTAATCGCTCTTTCAACTTCTTCTTGTTTTCCTGTCAAAGTATTGATTTCCCTGTGGGCCTTTTCAAGCTTCTTGTCAATCTCTATCTTTTCAGTCCTCAGAGATCTATAGTTGAATCCTTTGATGTTATTCTCGAGATCTCTTATTTCGTCAATGAGCTTTTTTTCGGATACTTTCAGTTCCCTTAATGTGACATTATCAGTCAAGTTTCTATATTCGGTTTCTTTCTTAGCCAAGTTTTGTTTCGTTGTCGAGATAGAATCGATTATAGCATTCTTTTGGTCATCTAAATCTTTTTCTTTTATTTTCAACTTAGCCAGTTTTTCAACTGTCAGATCTAACTCTCCTTCAGTGTTATTCCTAACATACGTTTCTATAGCGTTGTACAACTTTTTAATGTCTGCTAAAAGTGTTTTGTTAGCATTGATTTTCAAGTTTTCCTCGTTTTTCAACTTGTTATTCTTCTTCACCACCGACTGTCTCTCCTCAATAGCTGTGTTGAGTTGCTTATTACACTCTCTTACTTGATCTTCAAGCTCTTCTAATTCGGACTTTAAAGCTGACAATTTTTCCTCAAACTCTTTAAGCTGTGTCTCCAACATGGGCCTTTCTTGTAGCAACTTTTGTATATCCAACTGCTTTTTAGTTTCCTTTTGAATTTGATCATTTAGTTGCTGACAGCGTTCTCGGTGTTGATCCAACATTTTCTTACAAGACTCGTATTGGTGCTTCAAATTGCTGAGCTCAGCTTTTCCAGCATCAATTTCAGCTTCAGCTTCCTCTCGAGATCTTTCTGATGGCACTGTCACTATTTGTGATCGATACTTTTCTATATTTTCCTTGGAGCTCTTGATCTCATCAATGTACCTATCCAGAAGCGTTGCATCACTTATAACATTTTTACAGACTTCAACTTTCTTTTGAGGGAGTTCTAGTTGAGCCTTATCCGAAGCAAGTTCCATTTGCTTCTCGTTGTACTCCTCCTCGAGCTTTTTAACTTCCTCTTCTAGCTCAGGTATCTTTCTGTTAGTCAACGTCTCGATTTCTTCGCTAATAGGTTTGAGTTTACACTTCGCTTCTTCTTCATTTTGAATTCGTTGAACAGAACTTTTGAAATTGCTTCCAGGGGTATCATCATCAAATAATAGATTGAAATTCGAAGCATGTTTTGATTTGATCTTGTTAATTTCCATTTCTTTCTCAGCAACTGCTGCGATTTCGCGTTCAAGATTCTGCTCATGGTGGTAGTTTTGTTGAAGAATTCTATGTTCTCGTTCCAGCTTTTCAAGAGACTGTTCTTTAGCATCTATAGCTCCCTTGAGCTTATCTATCTCAATATTTTTATCCCGCTCACTAAAACTGCTTTTTAAAGATGATAAAGTGGTTTGTAATTTTTCGATTTTGTCACCAACTATTTTTAGTTGCGAATCAGATGAACCTAGTTGGTCTAATTGATATTTGATGTCTCTAGCTTTTCCACCATATTCCCTCACCAATCCTTTCTTTGACCTTCTTATTTGTCTAACGCTAACAAATTTTTCTCTAGCCGTGTCAATTTGGTTTTGTAATTCTTTTTCTTCTTCTTCCTTATCTCTGACGAGTTTCGCGTATTCCACCTCTAGTTTTTGTATCGCACTCTCAAGTTCATCAGCAATTTCTTCAGTACTCTCCCAGTCAATATTTCTGTTAATGTCTAGTTTATTTCTCAACTTTTCCACTAGTACTTTAACTTTCTGTTGTTTGTTTCTATGCTGCTTTTGCTCTTCCTTCAGTTCCCCTATCTTCATTTGGATTTTCTGTATAGCTACACCGACAGTGTTATTTTCGGCAATAATTTCTTTATTTTTCTGTTCTAATTGTTTAATATTATCCTCTTCAACTTGCTGTAACTGCTTAAAGGACTTAATTCGGTTTTGTAGATCATCGTCTGTTCCTTCAAACACAAGTGTTATTTTCTTCAATAAGATCCCCTGCTGGCCTTGTAACCCTGAAAAGGTACATTAATATACTCAGTGACAGAAGTGTTACACCCAAAAAAAATAATTTCTTCAACTTGATTTTTTGGCAATGAGGTAGTGTTACATCAAGAATGAAACGATAACATTCTCACCAGATTTTATTGACAAGTAATAAGAGAAAAATAATTTAGTAATGTGAATACACTCGTTTATACGTCTAGGCATCGACAAAATGAGATGATCGATGTAGGGTGGTGGCACCTCATTCCAAGCAACTCGTACTTCGTGCATGGCCTGTGGCGGATGATGCAAAGTAGATAGTCTCCTCCCCATCATATCGCACACATATTCGATGGGATTTAAATCCATCGAACCGGTGGCTACGACAAAACATTAACGCCTGCTTCTTGAAGAAAGTCTTGCCTTGACCAAAGAGAAGGGGTGATCGGTTATCATAGGCAATGGCCCCCCAAACCATTACTCCAACAGTCCTGTGTACATGGCTGTCAACAGAATCGCGATTTTGGGCGTGCTTTTTTGGGTGATGGAGACCCTTTATGAATCCACTGCTTGTACTCTGTTTTTGTCTCAGGATCACAATGATGACCAAAGTCTCGTCGCCCGTCATAATTTGTGGCAAAAAGTCGGATTCGTTGGTCAAACTTTTCAAATGACTCCGAGATTTCCAAGCTGCACAATTTTCGTTTAGGTGTCACCAGTCGTGGAGTCCACCTGGCTGACACTTTGCTCATGTTCAAATTGTGGTGTAGGATGCTGGTTACGCTAGGTTCCGGCATATTCATAGGTAGAGACCTTCACACGACGATCTTCTCAACAACACGACCAGTTCGAGCCGGTGTTCTTCAGGGCGCGGTTATAGGACCAATCCTTTATTCGCTTTTCATCCATGATGTTCCTTGCCCCAGCTACTATGAAGTCTACCTCTATGCTGACGACACTGCACTTGTCGCCCAGTCGTGTACTGCTGATCTGGTTCACGATGGGTTGCAGAGTGCGGTGGACGAAGTACTAGAGTGGGCGGAACGGTGGCTGATTAAAATGAATCATTCGAAAACGCAGGCTATTTATTGTACCAAAAAACGTCGCGGCCCCCAGCATAGGTTTCTGTAGACGGCAATCGTGTACCATGGACAAATTCTGCCTCGGTGTCACCCTTGATAAAGGCATGACCTGGCAGAAAGATACAGCAGCCTTGAAAACAAAATTCTAAATTGCGTTTCGGCAACTATATACTTTGTTATGTAGATCCTCCAAATTGAGTTTGATAAACAAAGTTCGCGTATATAAAATGATTATTAGACCAGCCATTACTTATGCATGTGCCGCTTGGTGTTTTCTTGCCAAGACTTTGCGAACAATTTGCAACGCTTCATGGTATGTATCAAACGAGACTACACAGAGACGTTGACATTCCTTACTTGAGGGATAATGTCAAGCTTCAGGCGCAGCGACGTTATAGACAAGCGGAATCGCACAGCAACACTCTGTTGCGTGACTCAGTGGACACACAGTGGAACAAGTTCGTAAGCATTCAACGGCTCGCACTGTGTTCAAAAATTAGCGCGAACTTTTAGTAAACTTAAAATTACACTCTAACAAAACCGAATCAAAC